TGGTTAGTTTATTCTAGTTCCTGTATATTTGTGAAGATAATAAAACTGCATTTCTCTATCAATACTCTATAAACCATAATGGTCATCCAACCATTTATTTAATTAATGGAAGTTTAAGTTCATATCCTATCCTTATCCCTTACTTGCCTATATGCCTTACAAGTTAAGGCAACTCTCATTGCAGTCAAGTAGTTCAGAATGGTCTCCTTTAAACATTCTGTTCCAACGTCCCCCAAAGCACGCAAAGTGTGCTGATTTTCAGCTTGGAAAATATGCACACTGGAAGTCGATTTAAATCTCTGGATAGAACTAAAACCAGGACAATTCTAGGGTGAGGTGGGGTAGAGTTTATAATGCCTTATCACCCATCACAAATAGATTGTTTCATTGACCAGCCCCCTTCAGGTAAGGTAAGGTTACATGGGGAAGCTAAGCTGGTGCCCTTTACCCAAGATTAAGGGAATGAAGCAGGGTGGGTGGGGGGAATCAGAAGAATTTGAAAGTTTGAGGGGACAAGCAGCTGGGGGGGGGGGGGGCGGGTGTGGTAATTCAGCAGCTGAATCTCCATTCTGCTGTGATTTACAGCGACAGACTTTCACTGGCTGTGTCACAAACCCCTGGTGATTGGGGTTTATCGCTCTTTATTGGCTCTTAATTACTGCATTTGCACACACAGTGTAATAAAGCACTAACACAAAAGGGTGGTTTGCAGGTTAAAAATTCCCAAACCACAGCTCTAATTTCCATGATCCTTGCCTGTGCATTTATAGTCCATCATGGAAGGATCAAGTCTGATTTGTTTAGGCCCAATTAGCCCAGGTTTAGGAAATTGGTAAAACCAAGCAGTATTTTAGTTCTAACCTGTAGGTCTGGTGCAGGGGCTACCTTGGTGACTGACCTTGTCGTCTTTATTCATTGTATCAGAAAAATAAAAAACTCTGTTTCATTAGCTTAAGCGAGTGCACATTTAAAACAGCCTGATCATTGCTTGTTTCTTCCATAGAATAGTAACATTTTGAGAAAAGGCTTAGGCTGATGTGGTAATTCAGCAGCTGAATCTCCATTCTGCTGTGATTTACAGCGACAGACTTTCACTGGCTGTGTCACAAACCCCTGGTGATTGGGGTTTATCGCTCTTTATTGGCTCTTAATTACTGCATTTGCACACACAGTGTAATAAAGCACTAACACAAAAGGGTGGTTTGCAGGTTAAAAATTCCCAAACCACAGCTCTAATTTCCATGATCCTTGCCTGTGCATTTATAGTCCATCATGGAAGGATCAAGTCTGATTTGTTTAGGCCCAATTAGCCCAGGTTTAGGAAATTGGTAAAACCAAGCAGTATTTTAGTTCTAACCTGTAGGTCTGGTGCAGGGGCTACCTTGGTGACTGACCTTGTCGTCTTTATTCATTGTATCAGAAAAATAAAAAACTCTGTTTCATTAGCTTAAGCGAGTGCACATTTAAAACAGCCTGATCATTGCTTGTTTCTTCCATAGAATAGTAACATTTTGAGAAAAGGCTTAGAATGTGTAATGTCTCATGTCAGGGGGGAAAAGTCAACAATTTAACATAATTTCCCGTTTATCATTATTTAAAGGTTGCAGGGGAGAAAGGGGGGAGGGGGAGGGGCGAGAGAGAGAGAGAGAGAGAGAGAGAGAGAGAGAGAGAGAGAGGGAGAGAGAGAGAGATAAGTAATACATGCTTTTCTCCGTCTCCTGGTCTCAGAGATAATAGGTATAGAAGCGTTTTTGAAAAAGTAAAAGCACTCATAAATGTCAGGCTTTGTGATTATTGTCATTTTTAGTCATCAGTACTGAGGGCTGGAATGGCTTAAATATGCTATTTGCCTTGTAACCAAGGTAGTTGAGAATAAACCTGATTTTTATGGAAATATATCATCACATGCAATCAGATTCACATTGCTCATTGGATGGGTAGATGTGATAAATTGCTGTCTACAGTATTATCACCAGAGGTGACTCTGAAAGTCAGCAGAGATTTGTGACAGCATTAGCTGTGTGACCTTCTCAAAGTCACCACCATCTCTGGGCCTCACTTTCTCTATGAAATGATGGTCTATTTGTCAATTGTCATGTTAACTGGGGATGGAATACAATAAAGAAATGTAATTCTCAAGCCATTTTACTAATACAGTTAAAACTCACTGATTTGGACTAACAGAGGGGAAGGATTATCTGAAGGAGAAAGTCCTGAATTACAAAATAGGTTCGAAGAATGACAGTTTCATTGCTTGAAGTCTGTTTTGTAATTCAAACTCACTCTAAAACATTGCCTTAGTGGAGGTCCTCGTGAGAACTGCTTTAGCAGATAAATTTGTAATGAATATGATTATATCTAAAACAATGCTTCCGACATTTGAAAAAGGTTTGTTCTCTTAAGGAAAAATTCAACTGGCAGTCTGGTCTAAACTCTTCATTTGCTTAACAAACCTCTCAACCTCTCTTAGACTGTAGACTGGTCCCTGTCCAGTTTATCTCAAATTATAAATTAGAGGGCTCCAAAGTAATGAGGTTCCACCGCCTTTTCTACCTTCTTCGCCATTGATTTGTTTTTGGCATCACCACTAAATAGTGGGAACAGATTCAAGTTCATCTCTTGCCCCTTCTCTTGCTCACTCTCAGAAAACTGCAGGTAGCAAGAAGGAAGGAGGTAAAGGCAAGCTCCTTGGTAATCCAGAAACGGAATAAGCAATTGTTGGATAGGCAACACTGATCATACTATTATCCATAGTTGAGAAAGGGGTCGACTTATTTCAAAAGGTTGTCTGGAGGAATGACCAAAAAAAAGTGATTTGAAAGATGCCTGGCAAGTAACACTATGGTCAAAGAAGTTGGAAATATCTAGGATCTGCTGAAATATTATTTTTCTATTTGCGTATCAAAAATCAGATAATCTGGGAATCGTGGGGCTGGCAACAAAGTTACTTGATAATTTTGCAGCAGTATTAGCTGAGGAAATATCTGGGTGAAAAGTAAAAATTCAGCCAGATGTGTGCAGGTTTTTTTGTTTGCTTATGTAACGTCAAACATCTGGTTATTTGAAAACTTCTGGGCAGTTGGCATCCTGTGGATGTTTTAGAGTCATCTTGATACAGTCCATGGCTCCTTTTTAACCGTGCTGGGTATGAATGATGAATTCGTGACAGCCATGTATCCAATCCAGCTCAGTTTTTCACTCTGCAACTCACTTGAATGATATAATTAGGTTCTCCGTGGCCTGATAATAATATGAGAAAAAAGACCAGGAATAAGGTTCTAAATACTCTAGGCATCAGGTGAGCCACTACAAAACTCAAATGAGCCAAGTGAATGGCATCAGTTCACACTGGTGGGAGAGGAAGTTACTGCTTTTTGACACATAGTAAAACCTTGATTAATTGGAATCCATAAGGGATGGATGGAATTTTCAATAAGAATACTCATTTTGTCTCATTCTTGGTTAATCACACTTTTCGTTTTCTCAAAATGCTTGTATCCACTTTCTTGCCTCAGGCAAGCGGCCTCTAATGTTTGAGGGTCAATCCAGGTGGAGAGAAGATAGAGGAGACCGAGCTGAGTGTGACCCAACCATAGGTCATCTCTTAGCAAGTGATTGAAAAATAAATCAGTTCCTTGCAGTCTTCTTTTCTCGTACTACTGCTGCTTTCTCATCAATGTGGAGTACTGAGGGGGGGGGGCAATTCAGTTAGTTGGGGTACTGGTTAGGTGAGCTCTGGTTAATCAAGGTTTTACAATGAAAGACCTCGCCAATGCTTGGTAAGATTATGTCCTGAAGAAAGTCATTTTTAAATTTATTTCTTGGAAAGTGCTCTGTGTTTCCAAACCCATATTATACTGCAGACTGGCAAACTAACTTTTCCGTCAGGGTCCTGAGGAGTGGAGAGAGAAAGAGAGGAGCAGAGGTGTAACCATTGTCTCTGAAGGAGAAAAGTTTCGGCTTGCCTGTCTGTTGGTCTCTGATTGGGAAACACTGTTCTTCACCTTAAGACACCCACAGTATCTTGGTCGTACAAGAGCCGATTTTACATGCTTCATTATAATTCTCATGCCCTTTGGGCCATGGAGGATTCTGTTTTCAGGTCCTCTCCTGTACTTACCCAACGTGTCTCTCCATCATTTGGTATTGTGGCTTCTGAGCTCGCCCCTATTTCTTGTTGCTTGGTTGAAGGCTTATTCATTCTTTCTAGCCCCGAATAGCATTAAGGAGCCGAAGGAATGCCAAGTAAGATGGTTTTTTTCTCACAACGGTAGCCTGGATAACCATTACACCTACCTGAACTAAGAACACAGCTAAGGAGAAGCCACATCAGGGATTCACACACATAGAGTATCAGTTAGGTGACGCGCTTGTTTAAATATACAAAATATCTTTGTAAAGTCTATATGTGTGGTGACTTATTGAAGAAAGACCCCATTTAACTTGAAACTGAGCTTGTTCTTTGGCTTTCAAGTTGAGTGGGGCCAGCTTAAATAGGCCATCACATATAGAGAGCAACGTCTCATCACTCATACACATGATGGAAGAAGCCAACCAGCCACTGTAAGCAACCATCATACCATCATGCCTTAGGGGGAAAAAAGGCTGTAACCTGACTTTTCAGTAGATGGATTTGATTTCTCACACCACTCATCCGAGGCAGGTGGGGACAGTCTTAAGGAAAGCCTCGGGCTTTTGAAAGCCTAGGGCGTTGAAACGTACACCACGGCCTTCATAAGGCAAGCGGTCTGGTGTGTGAGGGGAGGGAAGGGGTGTGGATGGGAAGCCTCTGTCTGGGAGTTTAAGAAGGGACCCAAGTTAGATCAAAACTGCGGGCGGTGCCCTGGAGCCTTTCTAGGTCCCAAAGCTGCCAGGCAGGGGAATAACCTGGTCATTCCACTTCATGTGTGAGTCTTGTGCTCTCTCCTCAATAATAAGATAACAGTCTTGCCGATTACTCGTCACTAAGGGTACCCGGTTGTGGTGACATTGAGGCTGACCTTGGAGTCACCGCCCCCGCTGCCGCACTCTCCTTTGTCGTACCACCATTTGTTTTTCAATTTGTCCAAGAGGCCTTGCTCATTCAGTTTTAATACTGCCAGGTTAACAGCATTTCTTGAAACGATAAAACATAACTTGTAAGAAAATGCACAAATGCTTAGGAAATCGTTAACGTATAAAAAGGAGCACAAGAGGACAAATTGGCTAAATTTCACAGAACGTGGAGCTATAAAAATGTCTGTACAGCAAATACAGGGTTAAATATTGGAAGGTGGCATGGAGGATAACATTTGCTCAAAACTGAAGTGTGCGGGATGGGGAGATTGTCTTTGATAAAGAAAGTAACAAGAACACCACATCCATGCAATTAACATTCGTCACATATGGCACCATAACTTGGCTTTTACCATTTAAATTGAAAAAGCCGTTGAACTGTAAAATGAAACAGCAACAAACAGTCAGAGAGGACAACACAGAGAGAGAACATTAAAAAAAAAATGGATGCATTAAATAGATGAAACCATAATTTACCGTCTTATTTAACTCCATGGAATATTGTAGATTTTAAACTTTTAAAAGTTACCTCAAAATCCACAAGAAAGAAAATGACAACAAAATGCATCAGGGTAGGTGGAATACTATAACAACACGGATATTGTTATATTATTCCACCCACCTTAATGCTGAGCCTTTAGGGGTTGCCACACCATAGCCTTTGGAATCCAGATTTCCACCAACTTTCATCGTATCACACGGTTTTCTCTGCTCAATGTACTCATTCATGGTTGACTCCAGCAGGAAGGCGAACTTTCCCTTGGACTTCCGCACTCGGGCCACTCCGTCTGCTGTTGTTTTGGTAAACACAGATGGCTCTGCTGATTTCATGTAAGACCACATTTTCTCATAGACAGCAATCTTGGATCTCTGCAACAGAGATGAGAATTCTTAGAGCTACCAGATACTAAAACTGGAAGAGGCCTCAGTGCAGTGGTTTTCAAATAGTTTTAATTGCCATCCACAGTAAGAAAAGCACGTTACACTGCAACCCAGTAAGTACATTCATACGTATGTAAACATGGTTCCGAAATAGGATTCTCAAAACCACAGTCATCTTTGCTATGTGTGATGCTCTCTGATATCTTCTATTCTATTTGAATTCACTTAGAAAAATGCCAGTCAGGACCCACTAAATTGATTTTATGGCTCCAATAACGGGTTTCAACACTTTGGAAAGCACTTTCTTAGTTCAATCTTTCTCTCAATTCAGAAATCACTCCTACACTATCCTGCTATGTGATTACCCTTTACTGCCTGCAAAAGAAAAAACAAACAAACAAAAAAACAACAAAAAAAACCCCGGCTATTGGAAGGGAGTATACAACCATTTTAGTTAGCCTACTCCAGTATGGGGCATTAATTATTGTAAGAAAGTGCTTCCTTATTCTGACCTGAAATCTGTTTCTCTATGACTCCCACCCTTTACTACTCTCCACTAGAGCTACGCAAAGTAATTCTGTTCCTTCTTCTGCGTGGTCGTCCTTCAGATATTGCAAGGTTGTTGTTATGCCCCCTCTTCATCTCTTCATCAGGTTAAACTCCACTGATGTCTAATACTATTCCCGGAAGCCCCATAGAACCCCATGGGTCTTCCTCCCATGGGGTTCTAGCTAGCAGTGTCTCTCTTAAACTGGAGTGTCTAGAAATAAGCATGGCATCCCTGTTATACGACAAGGACAGAATGAAAAAAACTGCTTCCTGTCATTGGAGCATTATTTTCTATCACTACTGCTTGAGCTTTCATTAACATGTTTAGTCTTTCATCCATCCTTTCAACAAGTACTTATTGAGCACCTGCTATATACAAACCACTCTGCTGGGGGCGGGGTGTGAAGAATATGTGAGTCCTTCCCTCAATTCAGATTGAGGTCAAACCCTCCAAACTGTTAGTTTTTTGTACCATGCCAAGTTTCCCTCATCCTTAGCTTTTTGAATTTAATTCCATTAAATTTCAATTCAATTCAGGTGGTCCTTAGAACGTGTACTAAATACTTACAGGTCTATGTTAGGCATTTTGGAGAATATAAAGGAAGCATGGTCTCAGTGACCCCATGACTTACAATCGAGTTGGGAGCTAGATCCTTAGGAGTGAAAACCCTAGAGAAAAATTAAAAAGAATCTTTGACCAGAAGTGAGATAGCCTGGTAGAAACTGTAAACACATGCCATGTTTTCAAGCATCCTTTTATGGCGTTTTCTGGCCTCTACCTCAGCTTTTTGGATTGTTTATTTAGCTTCTCTTCTCTGGACTTTGGCCAGCTGCATTGTGTCTTTCTTGAGGCTTGCTTGGACATGCTCAAATAATTCCAGAATTAGTTGCACTCCCAGAACTATCACCATGGAAATTAAGCATTGTGTTTATGGCAGTCAGATCCTCACTGAGTCACTGAAATTATTCACTGAGATGAAATATGCTTGATTTGCATAAAGAACAGGAAAAAACGCCAATATGGCTGAAGCCGAATGAACAAAAGGGAGAAAGGTAGGCAAAGAGCTGAGAAGAATAATCAGAGGTCAGATCTTGTAGGGGGCCCTGTAGGTCATGGTAAAAAGTTTGGATTTGTTTTACATGTGATGGGAAACCATTGGAGGACTTGAGGAGGAGTGTGAGAAGATCAGATTTAAAAGTTTAAAGCATTACTCTAGCTGCTCTATGGAGACTAGACTATGAGGTGGGCCAGAGTGGAAGCAAGGAGATTGCTTAGGAGGCTATCCTAATGAACCAGGGAAGAGATGGTTGTGACTTGGACTAGGCTGGGAGCAATGGAGGTAGAGGGAAGAGGCTGGATTCAGGATATGGTTTGGGGAGATAGCAAACAAGCCTTGCTGATGGACCTCTTCACCTGATGGACCTAGAGACACTTCCAGATCAAACATTTCCAAACCAAACTTACTGTCTTTCTTGTACAGCCTGGTTCTCCTTCTAAATTCATCAGCAAACTACCTAACATCCAAGCTAGAAAGTTTGGTTTTTATTCTTTCTTCAGCCTCGCATTATGCCATGTTTATTCTAACATAGAAATGCCTGTAGGGTCTGTCCTTTTGTCTTCTTTTCATTCTCATTACTGTTGTCCTGGGGCAGGCTCTCCTCAGTTTTTGGTCCAGACTGCATTGCCTCCTAACTGGTCTCCCAGCCTCACCTCTCTCTTCAGTTTATCCTCCAGTGTTCCTTTCAAATGTAAATCTCATCAAGTTACTTCATTCTTTAAAATTCTCCGATAGTTCCCTAATAGCTACAGGCCAAAATCCAAACTCTTACGTATGATATTCAAGAGTCTTTATGATCTTGACTACTCTCCTAGGAGCCAGTCACAATGGACTACTACTCACTGTTCACTGAAATATGCCATACATTTGCATATCTTCTACCTCTGGTTATGCTTTTGCTTCTGCCTGAATTACCCCTATTCACCCTACAGATTTCTTCTGTGAAATCTGTCTTGACTCACCTCTGTCCCCACAGAAGTGCTTCCTCAGCTCTTCTCCCAAAGTACTTTGTTCGTCCGTTTGCTATAGAGCTTTTTACTAAATTGCATTAAGGTGAGTTAGCTATGGGTCTGTCTTCTCCATGTTCCTGGGTGATTTTGAGGACAAGTCCATGCCTGATTCATTTTGGTAGCCCTCTTGGAATCCAGCATAATGCCTGATGCATGGTAGGTACTCAAGATATATTTAATAACTGACCTTAGGCCTGATCAGGGTGACAACAAGATTCTTGGTCAAAGATATCAGAAGGTTGGTGAAAGTGGCTACCAGCACTAATTTTATAGCACTGTAGAATTCTAGAGCTGAAGTTACTCTAAAGATCATTGGATCTTTGTTTTTTGTAAATAGGTTCATTAGAAAACAAACTTATGGTTACCAACAGGGAAAGGGGGGGGGAGGGATAAATTGGGAGATTGGGATGGACATATACACACTACTCTATGTAAAATAGATAGCTAATAAGAACCTGCTGTATAGCACAGGGAACTCTACTCAATACTCTGTAATGGCCTATATGGGCAAAGAATCGTAAAAAAAAAGAATGGATGTATGTATATGTATACTTTTTTTAACATCTTTATTGGAGTATAATTGCTTTACAATTATACGTATAATTGAATCATTTTGCTGCACACCTGAAACTAACACAACATTGTAAATCAACTATATTCCAATAAAAGTTAATTGAAAAAAAGGTCACTGGATCTTTCTCAGCTAAACCACTCAGGATATATGTTTTATAATCCGTGGTTGGTTTGGGTTTTTTGCCACTTAGCCTGCCTCTGATGTCCACCCTAATAACTTTCCTCCTAATAAGATTGAAATGAAATCTCATCCATTGACATTTATGCTCATTTCACATCACGTTATCCTCATCTGACACATGAAACAATTTCTAAGCATCATAATGAAGTATTCTCAATGACTTTATTTTATTTCAGTAGGAATTTCCTAGACAGTTGCTCAAAGAATTTTTCAAAGTAGTAAATAATTCCGATGCACAGAAAGATATAAAAAATTATGCTAAGAACACCTGTGTACCTGCCACGAAACTTAAGAAATGAAATATTATGAAGTTAGTTGAAGTGTGCCTATGTATCCTCCCTAATTGCATACCCCTCCTCTGGGCCAAAAGTAATCTCTATACTGAATTTGGTCTTTATCATTCCCTTGCATCTCTTTATACTTTTTCTCCTTTGTAATGGCTGCATAGCATTTTAATCTACGAATATATCATACCTTATTTACCCAATCCCCTACTGAAGGACTCTTAGGCCAGTTCCAAGTTTTTGCTATTATAGACCACACTGTGGTGGGTATGTACCTTTGTTCACTTACAAAAAGAGGCATTTTGTGTTCTTCATCTTGGCCCAATCAAATCTGAGTGAAAGGGAGAGGGGGTTAGAACAATTTGTCTCTTACACAATTTGCAAATAGGCCATTGCTTCCAAAGATAAATTTATAAGGCAAGGGCAAAGGGGTCCATGAAGTTTGATCTGAGTGTAGTATAGTTTGGACTCATTTACTTCATCATTTACTTGAGCTCTTTGATTGCTGATACAGGTTAAAAGGTTTATTCCTTTAGGTAATGATGCATTTCTAGGAGAATAAATGGCAGTACTTGAAGTGGGTACTTTAAATGTGTGTGGTGTACATGCAACAGATATTAATGAATGCAGTAAATGAAAAGTTAGTTAGTGGCAGAAAGGATTGGGTCCTGGTTGATGACTGATTTCTGAAGGACGTTAGAAAGGGGAAAAAGAAATGGCTCATCAGTGAGAAAAATTAAGCTGAAATGTTTACCTTCCTAACTAGTGTTTAAGTGACAGTATAACATTGAGAAAAAAAGAAAAAAATATCGCTAGCATTTTGGTTTTTTTGCAGTCTGTCTTATTTTGGCTGAAATATTGAAGGCAATAAAAGGTACTGGATCTTAGCTCAATCATCTGGAAGAAATTTTAAAAATTATGGGCAGGATGTGTAACAGCAAATTCATTTTTCTCTAACCCACCACGATTCATTTATTTCATCCCACGGAGCACCATTTTGTACCTAAGAAGGAGTAAACAATGGTTATGTAGAGAGGCCATAAGAAATTCTCTTAGAACTGCTAGATAATTAGCAAATGAAATCCAGAAAGAGAAATACATGAATGGGGGAGGAACAGATTAACCCAAAACGGTAGATAAAGTAGCATACTAGCATTCATGGATTCCACGGTCACTGTTCTGACTATTTGTGATAGACCATGAAGGTCAATGATATGGAGAAGTTTGCTTTTTTGTTGAGGTGAGAATTTGAATCTCTGGCTCTGTGAGGCTGGTGTGTGGAAGCAAGTGATTAGTGAGGGCGCTCAGCCCACCACTCAGCCCTTGGCTTTCT